TCCCATGAGTATCAACAAAACCTAGCATATCAAGTTGCAGGAAGACTAAGGACCTCCCCTTGTATTAAGACTGGGCAAGGTGACCCCTTGTAAGAAGTAGGGAACTAAAAGCCTGTAAGATTGGAGGTAGCCCCCATTCCCACTGTTAGGAGTCCCAGAAGAGGACCAAGCCACACAACTCTTAAATACATGAATAGTGCCTCCGTCAGTCCCATACAGGCGCCCTGGTTGTTGGTTTAGTCTTTATGAGCCCCTGTGAGCCCAGGTTACTTTATTTTGTTTTTTTCTTCAGATGTCCTTGATCCTTCTGGCTCCTACAATGTTCCTTTAACCTCTTCTGCGGGATTCTTTCATCTTCACCTAATGTTTTGCTATGGATCTTGCTATTCTTAATGGCAAGTGCTGAGGAAAGATCTGGGACATGAAGGGATGCAAGGCAGAGGCAGGTGGATGTCTGTGAGTTCGAGGCCAGCCTGGTCTACAAGAGCTAGTTCCACGACAGTGCCTCCAAAGCCACAGAGAAACCCGTCTCGGAAAACCAAAAAAAAAAAAAAAAAGAAAGAAAGAAAGACAGACAGACAGACAGACAGACAGACAGACAGAAAGAAAGAAAGAAAGAAAGAAAGAAAGAAAGAAAGAAAGGATGCAAGGCCACAAAGGGGAATGACAGATGATGAATAAGAAGTATAAATGAGGAGACAGGCTTTCCCTGCCATTGTGCTGCAGAGTAGTAGCAGTTCTTATGAAGAATCTCAGGAAGGCACAATCACATCTTTCATGAATGCTTGGTGTGCCTCAGTGGTCAGACCTTCTCATCCTGAATGACTTTATGTAAACTAGATATCCACCTGTAGAAGAAGGGGATTATGTCTACATCCCCTCACCAGGCACAAAAACTAATGTTAAGTTATTCCATAGATTAAATGCTAAAACTCCCCAGGGAAATATACAAGATTAACAGCACAGGAAATGCACCAAGAATTAATGTATGCTATTTGGGGAAATTAAAAAGGTTCTGCAGATTAAAAGAAACTACCAGCCAAGTAGAGATGTAATATGCAGAATGGAAGAAAATCAGTGATTTCAGTGCTTCACTTAGGAACTTACAACCTAGGAGAGATAAAGGAAAAATAAAGAAAAAACAGCCTATTCACAAATCTTCCTAACAACCAAAGGTTAAAAAAATGGTTAGAGTCACAAATGACCAGAAAATTATTTTGGAAGTACTCAGTGTCATCAGCTATCAGAGAAATGCAAATTACCAATATTTGAGACGCTATTACAACCCTTACAATATTAACATCAAGAAAAAAAAACAACAAAAGTTGACAATGGTGTGGGAAAAGCAAATTCTCATTCAGTGCTGGTGGAAGGGTAGGGTGTTAAATTCATTACAGAAATAAGTACAAAGAATTGTCAGTAAATTACAAATAGAATTACCACATAACTATAATTTCTAGGCATATGCTCAGAGGACGTGTGTCCTAACCCAGAGATACTTGTACGTCTATGGAAACTGCTGCATTATTCACAATGGCCAGGAAAGGGCAACAGCCTAGATGTTCATCAGCAGGTAATGGAATTGTGCTATCTATGCCCAGAGGGTATTTTTTTATCTGCAACTGAAAATGAAATGATGAAATTTGTAGGACGTTGGTGGATTCGCAAAAAAATTCATCACAGTGACCAGACTCAGAGAACCAAAAAGACCAAAAGATGGAGAAAAATGTCATTCAAAATAGCTGAAGGATGCAATCATCATTACACATTTCCATCAACAAACAAGTGCCTGAAGACAACATGGTATATACTTACAATGGTATAGCATTTGTTCTCTGAAAAGAAGGTTGGCACATCTACAACATACATAATCATAAAAACACTATGCAAAGTACTATTATGAGTTATACTACTGTATGATTCCAAATAACTCTTTTACCCACAGTGATCCATTAAATATACACAGAAAAAATAGAATCAGCAAAACATTTGTTGTATTTCAGAATAGCTGAAGTAGTGAGAAATTAAAATAATCCTAACATACATCTATGCATTTATCGTAATTCATTCAACTTTAAACTCTAAATCCTCATTCATAAAATTAATATTTCCTAATAGAAAAAAATCACCTTATGTTTATATCATTGACTCATTAATATATAACTATCAGTATTCTATTCCACCATTTCCTATAAACCAGCTATTCAGACACACACACACACACACACACACACACACACACACACACACACACACACACACCAAAGAATGTAGGGTATTCCAGAAGAATACAAATTGGTGAGTAGGAGGAGAGAAAAGAATAAACATACTTCGAGTTATGTGGCATAAGATGGGATGTATCTCATGCCTTGTCCAGCTGCTGCAAGTCCCTGGGTGTCATCCCTAGTCTCATCATTAAAGCAAGATGATGAATCCAAATAAATCTTCATTTTCAAACCCCCAAGTTATGAAGAATCGTGGAGAGAGATAGAGGGAGAGAGAGAAGAGATGGAAGCAGAAACAGAGGCCTTATGAAGAAAAGGAGGTGAGATCAGTCATAAGAGAGACTCAGCACCAGTTTATGGGAAGATAGGGGTTTACACAGCTGATGGAGGATTGGGGATAGTTGATTCTGGACCAAGTTGAAAAGAGAACCATTTCATCCAAAAGCCCATTCAAGTTTCCACTCCCTAAACCAATACCAGAGTCCCTTTTCCCTACCCTGTCTATGCATTGAATTCTCTCACTTGCCCTCTTCCCTTCGCTCACCCCTCTCTTTCTCTCTTCTTCTTACCTTCCTTCCATCATTCCTTCCTTGCTTGCTTTGAAATGAGCTATTGAAAGAAATTCTTAGTATAGATTTTTAAGCACCACTACAACTAAATGGGGAACGTGGAAAGACTGTAAGATCCATCAGAGTACAAGAGCATAGCTTCTCCAAGGAGTGTTTTCTAAGTTCTTGCTAATCCTATGCTCTGGTCACTCACCTCTGTGCCTCATGACCCCACGATGGTGGGTATTGCCAGGAGAAGTGAGTCTCTGCTAAAACTGTAATGAGACACTTGTCCTGACTTAAAGGTTCATGATCTCCTGGTATTCATTCCCAGTAGATTGGTGATTTTCACCTCAAC